TATAGGATGCGTATGATCGGGAGCATCGTTATAACGTTCGACTTGAACGATTTGTGAGGAAATTAGCCATGTGATTTGATCTTGGCATTACAAATATTTGACGGTCGGACTGATGTTTGTCTACGCTTACCAACTAAAATTCCTTCCTGCCGTGTGCTTGATTCTCGATGCTTAGCCAAGCGGCAAACGTAACCTCTCCAGAAATCGCCATTGATGTGTTTGTAGGAATTATATTGCGTCCAAACGTTTGTTACCAATGGCCACCAATTTTTTTCAAATTTTTCGATAGAAAGTTCGATCGGTTCATTCACTTTAACAGGCGCATTCGCTTTTCATCGGGAGTGATATTATCAATGGTGTTCATCGTTGAAATAAATCAAAAATAAAACAAGATTGTTGATATAAAAATTATTTATTGATACTTTGTAGATGACAGTTTTCCGTTGCTAGAATATCGCTTCGTAGCTATATATAATTTATAGCTATTCTAAAACCACACTTCACTAGTCCCATCCCTTTTGCCATGGCATTGATGCCTTTGTATGATTAATATTCAGAACGTTCTTTTGAAACATACATCGTCCCAACGTCTCCTAATACTAATGCCGTAAGAATAGCGCACGTTAATCAGATAAAATGTTTGATATTTCAGCGTTCAAACATCGTATTCGAGTTTCAAATAGATATAATAAAGCCCGGCCTGAATTAACAGACAAAGAGTTTCAAATACAAAACGCATGTACGTTAAATCTAAACCTCTGCGCGAACTTTGTTTTCGAAACAAATGATGAAACCTTGTGATCTGATATCACATGATACCCAATTTGTGGCGACGCTTGTGATTTTTGTGGCTACTTTGTCGATCTGCAGCAGCTGTGGCACAGAATCTGCTCGCTTTAGCCTACCCTAACCCCTGTATATGGTAATGAATTGCATCTCACACAGGTGCTCTACTGCTCAGGTTCGCAGTTTTTGTCACTTTTGTACCTGGGTTACACCGTATAAATCGACCTCGAATTGGTGGAGATATGCACGATCGAATGTTACAATAAAATAAAATCCCGGGCGGGGGTTTTTATCCCACACTGTAACAATTTTTAGTCTTGCCAAGCAATTGCAAAAATCTAACTTTGACCATGAAATAGCGTTAATATTAACAGATAATTTGCAAGTAATCTTTTTATTTCCCTAATTTTGTTCTTTAGATAAACATCTTATCGTAAGAGCATTAATGGCGTTCGTTTTGCCAAGAAACTTACGATTTTCAAATGTTATTCAAGAGACTATTATTTTAGACCCTGCCTACAACTTTTTTGATTGTTCAAGGTGTGAAGACATGAGTTAGGCTATGTGTAATAACAATTTTGTTCGCCGACAGTTTGTAGCCTTTTAGACTTTGTAGTCTTAATAATACTCAATATGATAGAGTTAGCTATTGTGAACTATTCAATCTAAACAAACCACAATTGATAACTGTTGATGATGTCGAGCCAATACATAAGAAAGCATTGTATACTGATTTGATATTAACCTCGCACTGTGATTTGGTTCCTCAATTATACTAGATTTATCTAATTTAATTGACACTTTTATTTAGGAAATTTGCGCTCTTTATTAGTTACTCTAGTAATGAACGCTAAAAAATAGCTTAATACATATAAATAAAACTATAGAAAACCGTCTGTTTTATGCTTCTCAATTATATTGATAAGGTCTCTCTGTCTACGCCCGTAACAGACATGGGTAATAATGTTAATGAAAAATTGCCCTCTGAAAAAGAACGACCGGTATATAATTAGTATACTCAAAGGCCGGTTGGATAGTCGAATCTAGGAGTCAAATAATTGATAAATTGCAGTACCTTGGGAGCACAAAACAAATACCGCTTCGCAATAGCCAAAGTCCGATCAACATCTTTTACCCTGATATATTAATTAATAAGAAAGTTTAATTTATAGAAACGCTACAATCAAAATTAAAGAACGAGAAACAATGTCTTACCGCACGATAGCACTTGTTCCCACAAAGTACCGGTGCATACTGAAAATGCCATAAATAGAAATAATTAATTTATTGTGACCAAAAAAATCCACAAAATATGCTAGATAAAACAAAAAAACTTACACTGGGACAGCATAAGTGTCGATGACAAACAGCGTTCTGATTATTGGAAAGAATAAAAACAGTTAAGCATAATAAACCCAATTGTTAAAATTTTGATGAATACAGAAGGAGATGTTACCCTTCCATAAGGGCAGCAGTAGGTTGAACAGCAACTGGTTCCCTATAAACACGACAAGTTGTTAATACCACATGACATATAATTGCATAAGCAAGAATTGTAATAACTTAGTAACAATAAAATCAAAGCCTTACAAATTGACAACATCGACCATTGTTTTTGCAATAGCCCGTACCCTAAATATACAGCATACGTAGAAATTTTCAAGACCCAACAAACAACACGTAATGGTTGACTTGTCAATATACTGCATATTAAATAAACCTCATTGCATAAAAAATTTCAATATCACGAGTCTATTTACCACAGGGCAAGTCTGGTTGTGTTATAAAGAGACATAATTAGTAATGGGCTTAGTATGTGAAACACTGAAAAACAGATAAACTGTCCAAAGAAGACTGATCTTCTCGACACAATTAGTCAAGATACATTTCAGGTCAGGTAAAAAATACTATACCAGAGACGAAGCAAGACTCAGACCACCGCTGCCGGTCGAAGTTGTACTGTCCGGCGTAATATCTGATGTTGGATACGATTTCGCGGGTATTGCACCGTCACTACGTGCAGCACTCAAGACGAGGAATGCAATTATCAATGACACCAATAAATAAAGTTTTTCCATGCTTTGACTGTTAATAAAATGTAAAAGTTTAGACGGTTAGTTTTTATAACGTTGCGTAGACAGGAAATCAGTCGTCAAAGCACATGTAAAATAGTACTGACCAATGATTACTACACAAATTAGTCACGTATAGAATATGATTAACTCAGAAAAGTAGAGAATTAATGATCGTCTTTGAGAACAGTTCAATGTTGGGAGACGATAAAGGGCTCTATTTATATCATAAATTGCAAGCGACCCATACTCAATTTGTAGACATAATAAAGACCTTCTGAGATTACTAGCAAAGCGCGAGGTAATGCACATAATGTTGTACAGTGTTAAATCTTGGATGTAAAGGAATTCTCGCTTAGTAAAAATTTAATTGTCATTTATAACACCTGATATAAAGCGGCTTAATTCTTGCGAACTTTCAGCTTACCCCTCGTTGTAAACAATCGATCATAACATACTTTCTATCAATATGATATCCAATAATCTACCACGTTTGCATGTAACGCACATTTAGACAAACACTAAACAAGTAACTTCTCAATCAACTTTGCAATTACATTTCATGACTTGTGCAGATTCCAGAACAAATATGGCAATTAAACTTTCTCTCTCAGAAGTCTCGCTAACATAATCTTATTAACCAATTAAAAGAGATGTTCGACATAGACTTTTCGGTAATATCGATGTCCTACCAATGTTTCAGATATTCTTGTTATTGTCTTGACAATACAGGAAACTGGAAACAATTAGCCGTTCACACAACATAACCAAGTCGTCGGATCTTCCATTCATCGTATGTATGACAAATATAACGACACTGTGATTTTGACAACGACAATAATGTGTCAGGAATTTTAAAGCAAAGCGCGAGGTAATGCATCGCAATGTTGTACAGTGTTAAATCTTGGCTGTAAAGGAATTCTCGCTTAGTAAAAATTTAATTGTTATTTATAACATCTGATATAGAGCGGATTAATTCTTGTGTACTCTTAGCTTACCCCTCGTTGTACGACAGGTTTTAAATCACCCCAAAAATTATTGAATGACCATCGATTATAACATGCTTTCTATCAATACGATATCCAGTGATCTACCACGTTTGTATGTAACGCACATTTAGACAAACACTAAACAAGTAACTTCTCAATCAACTTTACAATTACATTTCATGACTTGTGCAGATTCCAGAACAAATATGGCAATTAAATTTTCTCTCTCAGAAGTCTCGCTAACATAATCTCATTAACCAATTAAAAGAGATGTTCGACATAGACTTTTCGGTAATATCGATGTCCTACCAACATTTCAGGTATTCTTGTTATTGTCTTGACAATACAGGAAACTGTAAACAATTAGCCGTTCACACAACATAACCAAGTCGTCGGATCTTCCATTCATCGTGTGTATGACAAATATAACGACACTGTGACTTTAACAACGACAATAATGTGTCAGGAGTTTGTGCAATTAAATTATATAAGCAACTGCTGCTCTTCTTTGTTGAAGCATTATGAGAGGTTTGTAAAACTAGCACTCTAATCTCACCGTTACAGTATGTGGTAACGAGTGCATTATCATATGAACAACGAGTATGTGTAGATAACAACTTATCAAATATACAGATAATGGGTTCATAAAGAATTTTACACGTTAAGACACAGACTTATTGTAGCTTATGTGTGTTAAGAAGAGATCAATTTTTGCAAAGATAATTCGTTCGAATGCCGCATATTAATTGTACGAAGATCAGTAAGTATTTTTTAGCTTGGCAAAGACACAACACATGGTTCTGGAACCTGCACCTAATTAATACGCATGAGTGATATGGTTTATTAAGAAACAAGGATTCAATTATTATCGCTATAATCATTTTGGTCATAACATGTTGTTGTCCATATCGAGTATATCGAGTATGAGCTGCTTATCCTTACTAATTCAGGTTACTTCTTTTATACATCTTTATGGTGCGCCAGAGGCAGCGAAAGACTGTATTTTAATACAGTTTTTTCCGTATTTAAATACACCTTTTTAAATGACACTTTCTGAAAAACGCGGAATGCGGTTTATAGTACACTTTTGTTAATATTAACCTAAAAACGTGTATTTAAATACGCTTTTTTTGTAAAACGTTTGTGGATTTAACATACACTTTTGCGTGATAAAAAGTGCCCTTTTTTGGCCGAAAAAGGTATTTTTAATACACTTTTCGATCCAGCAGAAACAAATTAAAATACACTTTTAAATCTGGTAAAATTTAATGATAGTTTTGCAAAATATAATGCCTTAATAGACGTTCTAATCGACTTTATTACGAAATATATTAAACTAACGTACGACATGGGAGAAAATCTTTAACATACCCAAATCTCTCAAAGTATGGATTGAGCTCGCTGACCGCCTACTCACTGTCCGACTCTCAAATACCCTCCCTAACTTGCGACAACTTCATTCTCTTGCTTGGTCCCAAAATGTTTGAACTGTATCTGATCCCACATCTATTATGATATTATCTATCTAAATGGTTAGTTCTTCTTCTAATGTCTCTCTGCTTATGATTATCCATTGCTCCGTACCTCTCTTCTTGAGTGTACTATTTAATATGGCGGTTGGCGATGGTAAAGGTGGTAAATTGATGGTTGTGCTACCACTAAATCGCCCAAATTTGGTTGACAAGTTGGCTGGTAGATGTGTGTCGCACCATCTTGAGCCTAAACCGAAATGGTTAAGTTTTGAATAATTTACTAACGTATTCAGTAACTCAAAACATTCTTTCACAATGGCATGTCAGTTAGGCGATATTTCCGCACAAATCAAAGGAATCGCTCGTTTTTCAGTTCTTCTCACTAACGCTTTCAGTAACTCAAGCATATTTACAATGATATGTTTACTTATTTGCATCCCCGTACCAATATAAGAACTATTCGCTAACGTATTCTGTAACTGAAAGCATTCTTTCACAATGATATGTCAGATCAGACGATGTTTCTCACAATTGTATTTGTCCACAAGTAGAAAGACAATTACTAAACGCATTCTGTAACTCAATATCAAAGCATTCTGTCAAAATAATAAAGCTACTTCGGCTCAAAGTTTGGCCAATTTAACAAGATTAGATGTAGTTGTAAGACCAGTTGTTCAACGGCTCGATGTGCTTGTCGCAAAGCTGCTGTCGTTTGTAACTTAAACTGCCACCTCATAATTGTCAATGCAGTATGTTAATTCTTTGTATCATATTAATAAAATAATTTTAATGTTCGTACCTGTTTGTCCTTTTACTTTATGATTCCACATGTCCATTTGGAATAGACACAAATTCCCATCCGACATACGTCCATTGTTGTATGTCAGATCGGAATTTATGTCAATTCCGAACTAACATGTCAGATCAGAATTATTCAATAAAACTAGGGAGATATTGAAAATTGTGCTTCGCACGTGACACTTATGTTTTATATTACAGTATTATATTTATGTATTATAGTGTTAATAGTAATATTTATTTAATTGTATTGTTTTTTGTATGTATTTATGTGTGTATGTTTCTATGGAATGAATGGTTTTATGTTAAGTTTTGTTGCGGCTAGGTCCGAAGCTTTTGTGATTATTGTGTTTAAGTGTAATTCTTTTTCATGAAAATAGGAGTCACCTGTACGAATGAATGTTGGAAGTGGTGTTGTTAGGGATTCATTTATAATGAGAGTCTCTGTATTGTAACTGCTTTGTCTTAACAACTCTGCAGCAGTAGGTCGATTATGCTCGGAGTCCGTTTGTCGTTGATGGACCATTCGGATGTTGTTTTGAAAATTACGGTATTTTTCTAACTGCATGTATGACCACATTGGCCATGTCAAATGTAATCTGAAGCGAGGGTCATAGCCTAACATTCGGTTTTTAATGTACTTTCCATAGGTCTCGATTTTGTCATTAGAGGATGAGGCGTTTTGTTTTAATTCGCCATAATGTCCGTGTCCATCGGGAAATATATCGGGGTATAGAAGAGCCTCTAACTCAGGATCATGTAAGGGAATTGGTATCTTGTTATCATCTTTTGTATATAGAAAGCCTATGGCTAAGCGGGTGTAATGAGAATCTTCATTGTGGATTTCATCAGGGAAATCGTGTGTCGGAATTATTATGTCACCACGGTTTACAGGCGGTATAATTTGTTCAGTTTCTATATGAGTGGCACGTGGCCATATCGGATTAGCGGTAAAGTCATTTGTTTGTAATAATCGGGAGGCAAGGAATGATATGATCGCAAGTATGGATTGTTTTCTTGTAGCCATTCACAGGCATCTCTTAGAGAAGGATGGTACCAAAGATTTTCTGGGGAAGACAGGTCGGCGTTTTGGAGAAAGGCACCTAACATAGTAGAATACAGTGATAGTGTTCGTAGATTTTTGAATATCCAAATTGACCTTTAATTGATCGGTATTCTGAGTAAGCAGAGATATTTGATGATCTGCCAAGGCTTGAGTGTAGATATACAGGCGACAAATATTTTCATTTGCCATCAGGTACGTTTTTGATACAAGGAGAAATCCGTGCTAACCTAGGACATGGTGAAGGGGATAGTTTACATGACGGACATACAGCTACTTTTGTACTATGCCGTGGATGTGTAATTAGGGGAATATGAGGATATACGTGTTCAAATGGGAAGACGGAATTTGTTTGGCGAGTTATCCACTTAATCTGATTAGGGTATAGCAAACGTGAACAGTATGAGCACGGAACGCAAGGAAATTGTGTATAATCAATTTCATGGAGTCTGCGGAGGATTTTTAATAAGGTATCGGAAGGCCGCCAGAATGTATGATCGATTTGTGCAGGAGTAGGTTCGTTAATTGAAGGGAGGATTGGAATAGATTGATTTGAAGATGTTTCAGGGAAAACATGAGAAATAGGTTGGGGGAAGTGAACAATCGATTCATATGGTGTTATTGTATCGAAAGAATAGTGATCAATGATTCGAGACATTTTCACGAAATTTTTGGTGATTTTAT